CCGCCACAGAGGGCGTGATCACGGCGGTGGGCGAGGCGCTGCAGGCCGGCGGCGAGGAGGTGCACGACAGCCCGGCGGTGCAGCAGGTCAAGCTGCACTTCAATGTATTGCAGGTCAGTACCCGGCCGACAGGGCACATCTGCTCTCCCCAAAGAAGCGCCGGCTGGGGTCATCGTACTGCTGCGCACCGCCGCGCGCCTCTGCGCGTGCCGGGACGTGCCGCTTTGCGCCGCAGAGCCAGCTTGACACGCTCGACGCGTGTCGAATCAGGTCAACCCCTGGCCTTCCGCAGATCATCTACGCCATCCGCCTCGGGCAATACGACCAGCTCGTCAAGCTGCCAGAGCCCTCAAAAGACAACGCCCCGAGCAACCCCTCGGCTTCCACGCCGGTGGCCATCACCACACTCCTGGAGCTGCTGGGCGCCGTGGCCGCGAGCGAGGGCGCCGCGGCGTACGAGTGGCTGCCGCTTGAGGCGCAGGAGGGGCTGGTGCGGCTGCTGGCGTCAACGATCCTGCGAGGGCCAGGCAAAGTCAAGCCAGCGCTGGCACACGTGTCTCAGGGTGGGTAGTTATGTCTGTTGGAGTGCGCGTCGGGGTTGGGGGGAATGAGGCGGGCAGGGCGAGCTCATTGCCGGGTCCGCCTGTCGGCCACGTGTCGGCTGCGGCTCTGATCACCTGGGCAGACGGCTTGCATGGGTGGCGGCATGCCTTGGCTGCTGTTGTCTGGGCCACATCAAAGCTCAAGCCTGCAGCCCCCTCAAGTGCCGAACCCTGCACCCCACACTGCCGGCCCAGGCCTCACGGCGGTGGACGAGGGCCTGCGGCGGCTGGGCGTCGCGGCGGCGCGTGGGGGCGGCGGCCCCGGCGGCGGCGACAGCAGCGGCGGCGGCGGCGGTCGGCCTGCCACAGAGCAGGAGGTGCACCACGCGGACGTCTGGGTGGCCCGGGCGCTGCTTGTGCTGCGGCTGCTGCTGGTGGAGTCGCGGCTGCAGCTGCACCTGCTGCAGTCGGACTACCCGTCGGCGCGGGGGGACGTCGCCGAAAACGCAGAGCTGTACGGACGCTTCCCGGTGCGTGCGCGGCGCGCCGCGCCGCGGCGCCGGCCCTGTGCGGGGTGCTGCACGCGCTGCTCGTGGCGTTTCTTGGTTGCATGGCTGGTTTTGCAGCTAGTGGATCCCTCAGAGCACCACCTCGTCTGACATGTGCAACCTGTTTGGCTGTTTCGTCCCGTCCGTTCCGCGCAGTTGCTGCTGGAGGCGCTGCGGCCGTCGCTGCACATGCAGGCGGCCCTCTACGCACACGCAGTTGGCGCCTGGGGCGCCGCCGTGGCGCATTACGCGGCAGCCGCGGGCGCGACCACCGACCCCCTGGCGGAGCCGCAGGCCCGGTGCCTCGCGGCCATGGCGCGCGTCGCGCAGGGCGGCCCCGACGCAGGTGAGCGCGCCGAGCCCCTGTCCGCGGGCCACGCATGGGCGGCTGCACGTGCGTGCGCGTCCAACACACACGGTTATAGACCAAGCCTGACCCGCGCCTGGAGTGTGCGATCCACAATGGACCCGCGCTCAGCATCCAACTGGGGGCCCCGGCAGTTTTGGCCTCTGCACGGACGCGCCTCGCGCCACACGCAACGAGACTTACTCGGCGCCCCGCCTCGCGCGCGCCCCAAAAACGCGTCCGCGCTCCCACCAGCGGGCGAGGGCATGACGCTGCTGGGGGACCTGTACGGGGCGCCTGCCCAGCGCGTCGCCGACTGCTGCGAGCGCGCGCTGGCGCAGGCCGCGGGCGCACTGCTGCGGCTGGGCGCGGGCGGCGGCGACGACCCTCAGGACGAGGCGCGGGCGGCGGAGGCAAAGGCGCGCGTCCGAAGCACGTGCACGCATCTTTGAGTGCTCTTCGGCATGCGCCAACTCACTTGTTGCAAGCTGCTTTGCCATCATAAAGTTTGCATGCCTGCAGCCAGTACAAGGGCCGTGCCTGCGTCTGTGCCGCCAAGGGTAGCTGATTTCTTGATTTCTGGGGCCCCGGTCCCGATGCCGCCGGCCCTGCGCTTGCAGGTGATGCTCGGCAAGGCGCTCAAGTCGGCGCACGAGCGGTTGCACAGCCACCAGCTCGTCACGCAGCTGCTCAACACCCTGGCGCCGCTGCGGGTGCGGCGCGGCCGGTCAGGGCCGCTCGCGGGCTGGGGCGGTTGCGTACGCCGGGGGCCCTGGCATGGCGCGAGCATATCTTGCTCAGCCCTCCCCGCGACCCATAAACTGTCAACACTCACAAAATTTTCTCGAAGCAGCCCTGTCAAATACCCATCAACCCACCACCCATTTTATGACACCTGCGATCCCCTTGCCCCACGACCTCCGTTTGTACCCCCGCTTCTCTGCCTCCCACCCCCTCTTCATCCACAAATCCCTCCCCCAGCTGGACGCATCCGACGTGTCTGGCGCGACCCAGATGCTGACGTCATCTTTCACCCTGGCCAGGGCCATGGGCGACCTCAACGGGCAGGTGGCGGCGCTAGGCGTGCTGCAGCAGGTGGGCGGCGAGCGCCGCGACCCCACCTCTGCAGGGCGAGGTGCAAGCCATCTTGAGAAGCAGCTCTCGCTTTGCCGGCACGCGGACGCCCGCAGCGGCCCGCATGTTGCTTCGAACCCGCCGCCTGGATGGGATGGTTCGGGACACCCGCCTGCCCCCATCCGGCTTTTTGTTTCATGCGGCCCCTTCCCCAGGTGCACATTGCCACCCACCAGGCGGACGAGGCGGCGCAGACCAGCAATTACCTGGCGCGCAAGAAGGCCGACCTGGCGGCGCGGCTGGCGGCCGCAGAGGCGGATGCGGCAGAGCACTCAGCAGTGCTGAGCTGGGGGCTTTAACGTGTGAAAAGCGCGGCAAGCTGCTCGAAATGCACTACCGTAAAGCCGCAACGTCATTGGAATGCCCAGGGGTGATGAGCAGAAGGAGTAACGGCAGACAGAGCTTCCAACAGCATGAGACAAAAAATGGTCGACGAATGAAAGCAACGCACACGGGATGATAACAACCGAGCAAGCGCCGCGCGGTGGCGTGGCGCGTCACTTCTGGCCCATCATCCTCTGCCGCTTCACCAGCGCGCGCACCGCCTGCTGCAGCGTGGTCTCCTCCTGCGCCTGGATGTAGCCGACAAACCCGCCCGCTTTGGACTCGTGCCTGCGAGTCAATGGGGGAAGACAACGTGGGTGAGGCTGAGGTCAGAGGCGTTCAGCTTCAGGGAGCTTGTTGGCAATGTTTTGCATGGGCCGATGCAGAGTGCACTCGGAACCTCGCCGCGCTTGAACAAGGGCGCATCTCCGCGAACACACACACACATATACACACACGCATGCCTGCGTGCATGCACACATCTGCACACACCAAGCGCACGTGCATGCAAGCCGGACTCGAGAGCTGAGACCGCTCACGTCAGCGCTGCGAGCTCGCTGCGCATCTCCCCCTCCACTGCCTTGAACGCGGCGCCCCTGTCCATGCCGCCGCGCATGAGCTTCAGCTGCCGGCTGACGAAGCGGCGCGCCAGGGAGGGGTGCGGCAGGTTGAGGGCGTGGGGCGCCATCCGCACCTGGCGGAACGCGAGGGGGCGCGGGGGCAAAGGGGTCGCGGGGCCTTGTAACGCGGAGCGGGGGGGTTTTCGAGCTTACAGCTGCTCCAGCTGTTGGCACGTTGCCGAAACCGCCGACGCCCTGCTTGCAGTAGCCGCCGGCTGTGACGCGCCTGCTTGCCGGGCGCTGCCCATCACCTGCTCCCTCAGAAGCGACGCCGTGCTCTCACCTCGGGGTAGCGCCTGAACAGCTCAGTGTAGAACGTGTTGTGCGTGAACTCCATCGCGGGGGGCCGCGGATGCTGCACCATCAACTCTGCAGTGCGGTACCTGGGGGGGGGCCCGGCGGGCGCAGCGCAGCAGGGCGCAGCGCGTGAGGCGGCGCGTGCGCGTGCGCGGATGTCCGCAGAGGCATTCTGGCCAGGAGACGGGCGGGGGTTGATTATATAAAGCACACATGAGTTCATCACAGGCATGGCAGCAGGCCGCCGGGCCGCGGGCAAAGTCTTCGCCGGCGCTCACTGTGCCAGGGTCGACCACGCCTTGGGCTGCTGGAATGCGTCATGGTCCACGAACCGGAGCATCCGCTGCACCAGCGTGGGCCTGAAACGGCCCATGCTGCTGCCAGCGACCTGGCGACCGGAGTCGCAGGCACCTGCAGGGCCGCGAGGCTGCCTGTGTGCAAAGTAAGTGCGGCGCGATCTGCTGCTGCTGCTTCTGCCCCGACCACCTCTTCCTGCTGGTTTGCCTCGGCAGCCAACAACCTACAAATGACTAAAAGAAATCAACGAAGCGTTGACACCTCCAACAATCCCCAAAGCTGTCCCGCGATCTTGCACCTGGGACACGGCTGCAAGAGGCGACCTCGCCAGGAAGTACCGTGGAGTACACTATAGGATGTAAGGTGAATGTGGTTGTGATCACCACAAAACCGCTCTTGAAAAAGCTGCGAGTCACCCACGACCACAAGCTCGTCACCGCTCGCTCACCTTGTGAACCGCCAGCACAATTGAAACTGCACAATCTAAGATACATGCACGATTGTATCTATTGAGGGCGTACACGCATGCGCCCAGGTTGATCTGTTCGCAGTCTAGAGAGTGGCGCGCCCCCACCAGAGGCAGCCTGCGCAGACACTAGCAGCCATGGGGGGAGGAGGAAAGGCGTCAAAGGACGTAGAGTTGGCCATGGACCCGGCCATAGGCCCCGTCGAGGCGTCAGCAGGCATCGACAAGCCCCCAGGGCCCAACACGCCGCGCCGCCCGAACGCGCTGTCGCGCTTCCTGTTCCTGTTCATCGACCCAATTATTCGCTACGGGCACAAATACACACTTGAGCCTGAGAATGTGTGGCGGCCGGACTCTGTGGACACGGAGCCGCTCTATGCGCTGTTCGACAGCGCGTGGCGGCGGCAGCTGCTGCGCCCTGTGCCAGACATCAAGCGCGCCGTCGTCGCCAACAGCTCGTGGATGCTGGTTTACACTGGCCTCCTCTACCTGCTGTCCATGGTCAGCCAGCTGGTGGGGCCCCTCATGCTGCAGCGGATCGTGGGCGGCCTTTCCTGCTGGGCGAAGCAGGGGCACAAGGGCGGCGCTTGCCCTCCAGAGAGCGACCTGTACTAGTGAGCGGCCACATGGCTGGGGCGCGCGCCGATGCGTCTGCCGCTTCGCTTGCATATATGCATGTGGTACCGACAGCGGCTGGGTGGGCGGCGGCAGCCGCGCGGCGCGTGCACGGCGGGGCGTTGCTGAGGTGGCGGCGCGCCCATGCGGCGCTGAGTGGTCGCTGGCGGCCTGTGTGCGCGCTTTGCATGCATGCAGTATCCCCTGGCAGCTGGCGCGATGCGGCGGCGGGAATGGTGCATGGTTGGCATGCTAACCGCATTGGAGTTTAGGCTGACCCATACTTGCAGCACAACGCCAGCGGCAGTCCGCTTTCAACCCACTCCCCTTGTGCTCTGCAGCGGTTGAACATGGATTTGTGCGCGTGAGCACACGCGCACACCTTCGCCGCGCTAGACTCATCCTGGGTCGGCCCCACCCTGCCACCACGTCGCGCACCTTCCCTGCAGCTACATGATAGCGATCGCGGCGGCCCCGCTGGTGCAGTCCCTGGCCGAGAACCACCAGATGTTCACCCTGAACATAGTCGGCACCAAGATGCGCAACGCCCTCATGGCGGCCATCTACCGGAAGTGCCTACGGCTCAGCAACAGCGCCATGCAGAGCGAATCTACCGGGAAGGTGAGCGGGCGGGCCAGGGCGGGCTGGCGGTCGGCTGAGGGCCTGACGCAGCTGCAGGCGCGCCCTGGGCGGCTGCACGCATGGTACAGTTGCAGGCGGCAGGACACCCAGCCAGCTGGCCCGCAGCCCACAGGCCCCGTCGCCAGCTTCGCACACCGCGTCCCGACCTCCACCTCGAGCCGACTCCCACTTTGCCGCCTTTTTTATTCGAACAGGTGGTGACCCTCATGTCGAACGACGCCCAGAAGGTGCAGGAGGTCATCCTGGGGATTCACGTGCTCTGGGGCGCCCCCGCCCTCATCATCGTCATCCTCTTCCTGCTCTACCAGCAGGTGCCGCTCAATGCCAGTCAACGCCGGTCAATACGGGGGCTGGGAGCGAGCTCGGTGGCGGGGCGGCTGCGTGCGCACCTGGCTGGGGCCCTGCGGCACCAGGCGCTGTGCGTCTGAATGTCCCTCGGATCTGCAGCGATCCAGCGCTCAAGGCTCGCCTCAGTTGCTAGTCTGTATGGCTTGTAGCGTCCAAGGCCTTTCCTCCGTCCATAGCGGGCCTACAGTGGCTGCCCCACCCCTTCACTCAACGCGCGCATGCCTGCCTGCCTGCCCGCCGCAGGTCGGGTGGGCGACGTTTGTGGGCCTCGCTGTGATGCTGATTTACACGCCCCTGTCCAGTGAGCCGGGCGCATCACAACAGGCCGCAACCTGTGATTATGCCAGGGGGCTGACCCCATCGGCTTGGGCGACAGTAGCTGCCGGTTGCGGTTTTATCGCGACCCGCCTGGCGCCCTGATGAGGTGTGCCTTTGACCGCAGCCTCGAAGCAGCCGCGGCCCCAGCCCACTGCTGTGCGCGGACCGCAGCCCCGCGCCCCCGCCCCCCGCCCCCCAGCCATGGTCAGCAAGAAGCTGATCTACTACAGGAAGGCGTTGATGAAGTGGACAGACCTGCGTGTGGGCATCATGAACGAGGTCATCAACGGCATGCAGGTGCGTGACCATGCGGCGGGGGGGTTCTATCTGTTTTTTTTGGGGGGGGGGGGAGGGGGCGCCATGCATTGGTGTCTGCAGCTTTTGGGGGGCTCGACGGGTCTTGTGTCACTGGTGAGCACTCGCTCCAAGAATGAGGCTTTTTTGGCGGTGCAAAGTCGTCTGGAGCCTTCCTCTTGCTCTTGATGCGCAGTGATTGTGCATGCATGCCCACATTCACGGCCTCACTTGCATGCACACACACACACACACACACACACACACACGCGCGCGCGCGCGCACACACACACACACACACACGCACACATCCACACGCACACACACACACACACACACACACACGCATACACACACGCCGACTCGTGCGCGCGTGCACGCCCCCAGATGATCAAGTTCTACGCATGGGAGGGCCCCTTCCGCGCCCGCGTCGAGGACGCGCGCGCCAACGAGGCAAAAACCCTCAAGGATATGGTCTGGTGGCAGGCCCTCTTCGCCATGCTGCTCTTCTCCGGCCCCATCGCCATGGCCGTCTTCTGCTTCGGCTCTTGGGCGCTCGCGGGCAACGTCTTTGCCCCGGCCAGCGCGTACACCGCGCTCGCGCTGTTCAACCTGCTGCGGCTGCCGCTCGCGTTCCTGCCTATGATGGTCACCGCGCTCATCAACGCGCTCGTGGCGCTGAACCGGATAGGGGACTTTCTGCAGAAGCCGGAGAGCGGGGCGGCGGCGCTGGAGGGCGCGCAGGCCAGCGGCGAAGGCGTCCAGGTCGGGGCGGTCAAGGTGGGTCAAGATCACGGCGGGGCGCGGGTCAATTGCAGGGGCCGCGGGGGCCATGAATTTGGGCGCCGCAATGCGTGGGGCGTGCGTGGCTGCTGGCACGCGCCGCCGATTATTCCGTGCCGCAGGAATGCAGCGCACAGGCGTGCGGCCTCCATGACATCTAGTGCAGGAACCCCCATGCCGGCCCAACCTTTGACCCCAGATTACCGACGGCGACTTTGTCTGGGACGAGGCGGCCGAGGAGCTCTCCCTGCGCGGCGTCAACCTGGAGGTCCCGCCCGGCAGCCTGACGATGGTCGTCGGCGGCGTCGGCAGCGGCAAGAGCAGCGTGCTGGCCGCGGTCATCGGCCAGATGGAGCGCACCCGGGGCAGTGTGGCGGTGGGGGGCAGCGTCGCGTACGTGGCGCAGACGGCGTGGATCATCAACGACAGCGTGCAGGTGCGGCCGCGCCGCCGGCGGCTTGCTTTGGCCGTAGCCTTTGAGGCGGGTTTGTTAGGGGCGGGGGGTCTTGACCGCACGCTCAACGGCATGGGGTGGGGCTTGGATTGTGCAGGTG